AGGGGTCAATTCTACACTGAGCTGCAAATGGTTTCCTGGCCACCGATGGAACTCCAGGCCCGCAAGAATCACACTTGGAATATGTGAGTGACAAAATGTCGAAGCTGAAGATGGGAGGCGAGTTGTTATGGTATGTCTGGATGGGTGTCGGCCTCATCGTCAGAAGTGTGCCACCGTTTTCGCGCTGGAGGATCGTCTCGGATGTGTTTTTACTCCATGGAAGGGACCACATCGAGATGTTGACAGCTGGAGCCGATTTTTTGGTGAAGAACTTCAAGACAGCTTGGTCCGTTATGTCATCACAAGAGTAGCAGATTCCGAGGGATGAGAAGTAGCCGCCTCCGCCATCTTGAGTGAAAGTGCAGTTACGAGAGGTGCAGTCGAATTTGATGAGTTCTCCAGCCTTTGGAGGATCCACAAGACCTTTGTTAATAGCTTTCCGCATTTTTTGATTCAGGGTGATAGGTGCAGCATCAAGGGAGCTATCGCGACGTTGAGGATTGCCTGAATAGTTGTTCGTCCTAGGCACTTGGGCTAGACCAGAGTCTGCCGTGATATTGCAAGAGCCGAGGCTGATGGTGGCCTGAGAGAAAGCATCGATGGCGAGGGCTGCAACAGTGATGAATGCACCAAGTCCTGCCAAGTATCTGTCTGATTGTCAATAGACTGATCTCAGAAGATAATTCAAGTAGTCTCTACCCTCTTATGCTCGGCCTCAGGATGTAACTCTTCATCAATAGCAATGAGCCCCACGGCCCTCGACTCGCATTGTCAAAAAGAACGAGGTCGCCCAGCGTTTGGGATCGATCGAACCAGTTCCATTTCAGCTGTCCCAGGCCTAGACATTGTTTTAAGTTAGAACGTCCGCATGCTTCCCGTACAATGTAAGAAACTCATCAGTAAGAGGCAAAGACTAACCTTCGGCCACAGGAAGTATGAGTGCAGCTTTGAAAACGGCCGTGAAGACTGCGATCAAGGAGTTGATTGATATGAGCTTGGGCCAGTGGGGAAGAGGCTGTCCTCGGTAAATGGACAGAATAATCATTATGGCAGAGATGCACTCCAGGGCTAGAACGCTGCTGAACATCTCCACCCACCACACTGACCATATCCATTCTATGGTTAACCCGCTGTCTGGTGGTGTACTTGGATGTCTCTGATTCGCGATGTCGTTTGAGGTCATATGCTTGGAAAGCTCTTGTTCCGAGTCCGGCGAGGATACCTCTGGGACGGAGTTGAGGTGTAAAGACTGTTGATCAGAGAAGTCCAGCATGCTTGGGGCAAGGAAAGCCCTATACTCGTCGTTTGCAGACATCTTTCTGATTTCCTGGAAAGAATAGCCACATTGTTCTTCGATGGGTGTTTCGGGGCGGCGAGGAGACAGTTCTATCCGATCGAGGTGTTCTTCAGGAGAGGCATTCGGATTCCCGCGCATCGAACGCAAGCTAGGAGAATGCATGGCACTTGGAGAGAGGCCTTCGACCACCTTGCGAAAGAGAACTACACGCGAGAGCAGGTAAGGCTCGATCGAGGGAGATCAGTATGTATATGAGATGGCTACCTGCGGTGAGATATGTTCTAATACATTCGGCTGAGGCCTGAGCTGCGAGCAGATGTGGCGTTCCCCTTGCGTGTTGTAAGATATGTGATTCGCTCTTCTCACCACGCGTCAGCAGCAGATGCGGTTCCAATTGGCCATGTGTGAGACCCAAAATAGTTACGAGTTCTGGTGTAACTTCAGCAATGCAAATATCTGAGTATGAAAAATGAAATCAGGCTCTAGATTCGGCCTCAAACGCCCTACGAACGCAGTCCTGCGGCGCACATGAGCTGGAGTTTGAGACTGGGCTTACACCTTCAGCCTCTCTGTCCCACTAACATAGCAGAAATCAGCCGGGATCAGAATCATCTCTGGCGACAAGTAACTAATTCTGTCTAAGAGAAAATCGGGACATAAGGCTGGAAGCCAAGAGACTAGTAAGTCTTTATAATTGAAACAGCCACACACTACAATTGGTCATAGAACTGAACATTGAAGCCTTTACTAGAGCATCCGGGACCTCGACATGGAGATTAGCTTGCACCTGAAATAGACTAGGCCACCAGTAGAAGAGATGTCAGGTATTCAAGCGAGTGGTAGACGTACGAGGATAGCTATGTTCGACTGGGAGCCCCCCCCCCCCCCCCCCCCCCCCCCCCGTGCTAAGCAACCCAAGTCATGCATTATCCTGATGATCTGATCTTTTTTGCATTTCAACTAAAGATAATACTCTGAAGGAGGTTCCAAAATAGTATCCTTGTTCCTTGACATCTCACTATGCATGAGGATCGCCTTTGTTCAGAGTGGCTAGAACTTCCTCTTCGGCTTTCATATGTTTCTTCACAAAAGGTAAGTCCAGAAACCAGGTAGACATTGTAAACCTACCTTGAGCCAAAAGAACAACTGCGATCACTACTAACAGCTTCAGCCACTGGTTTCATGAATACATCGCCTTCTGCCTCAACAAGTTGGCATACATAATGGGTGAAGTCTCTTTGACCGAAAACCAATGTGCCACAGTTCATCCGAGTCTAGGCCAAGACTATGGGGTTGCTGGCCTAGGCCTAAGGCTACCTTGCTCCTTGACGTCAGAATCACTTCAGTCTGTATCTAAAAGATATCTAGGTAAAAGGCTCGTGAGGACACACCCTAGACTCTTCTGCCTAGGCCTCCTTTCGCTTCCGCACATTCCGTTAAGTATTGCAAGCGAATACGAGTGACCACAATGAGGAGGCGGCACAAGAGACAAGCTGTGATGTCCAGCCGGAAGACGAAAATGACTGCCAGAGTATGGAAACTCCACTAAGTACAATGTATTTTATGCCTCGCATAGGTAGTTGATACACACCCTTTGTTCACATGGCATCATACTTGATCACCAGCAGAACCACGAGCAGGATGTGCATGACGAAGCGATCCCTTTTCTTATAAATATTTTCTCCTTTTATATGAGAGACATCACGAGCGCCTTGATCTTAAATTAGCATGTCACGCCTTCCTCTGTCCTCGTGGGGCTCTCTCTGCTAAAGGCAGAGGGTCCTAGATACCCAGTGGTCTAGCTATACGGCAATGATCTTGCATTGTGTTTTTTAGCTTGTACCTTACACCTGGTGCAAGGGACAGTAATACTAGCAGTGCTCAGCTATGATGGTTTCCGGCAGATCTTAAGGCAACCTCAAGACCGACCCCAAGTCACCAGAAGCGCTCGAGAAGCAGCATCGCAATTTGGACGACATTCGCGACTCATTTCAACCAAAGCAAAGTCTGAATCCCTTCAAGAGGGCGTCTATTCCTGCGTCATCACAGCCACGTAAACTGTACACAATCCGGATCGTCTATCCTCGATACTCGTACATCCCGATAACGCCAAGCAATGATATGTCATACCCTCCAGCCTCGCGGCCAATCCCAAACCACAGCTCTTCTCCCATTCGACCAAGAACATCGAAGCTCTTCAGCTCGATCAAGAATTCCGTCTCTCATGATCCATCCCAACCATCTCATACCCGCCCTCCCCATCCCTCCCTCTCCCTCGTCCCCGTCCCCTCGAGAACCCAAGCCCATCCTCCTCGTCTCCGGCGCCGCCATTCTGCGCGGCCCCGTCACCGCTGCTCCCAGCACCGGCATTTCCGCCGCCACCGCCTCCTCCACCAAACGATATTGGCCTCAACTCGCGGTATCTAGATCCCCAAACCGCCAAGGCGACACAGATACCCGAGCTGGCCGCCATGGCACCCCACCACATTGCGTTCCGTGGGATGCGGCCGGTGTATAGGCTCGTGACGACGAGGTGCACACCGTGCATTGTCAACGCGAAGTCGGGGACGAGTTTCGAGCGGCCGATGAGGATGATGATTGCGACAGCCCTGTTGTTGTATGTTAGCGTTGGTCTTCAACTTTCTGCCTTTCTCTCTCTTCATCCCGCGACCACAAGCTCCGGGAAACAACATCAACTAGCCCAAACACTCTGTATAAAAGACGAAAAGCGAGGGAAAAAACTCACATGCAGAAACCCCCATCAAGAACCCACAAGAAAGCCCCCAACCACCCCTGCGTCGTATCTCCCCGAACAGCCTCCCACCCAAAGACGAGATCCAGCGTGAACCCCGTTCCAGCGACAAGCGCCGAAAAGAGCATCAGCACCAACGCCCCGGCATAGTACAGTCCTTGTAGCGCCGCGATCTGCGAGGCGATGCGCAGCGGGGGCAGATCGTTGAGGGCGCCTGGCCGGGGCGGCTTGCGACGGCGGGGCATGGCGGGTTGAAGTCAACGGTTGCTTCGGAGGGTGTGTTTGCTTCGGATTTCGGGTTGATCTTAGTGGATTCCTTGGGAATTTTCGATGGTATGTCAATAGGTTGTTCGAGTTGTTGTTTCGTGGTGGTCGTCGTCGGAAGGGAGAGGTTTGTCAAGGTGTTGTTCGAATCTCGCTACCGGCGAAGCATTATCGAGCTTTCCTTTGCGGTTCGCAATAAGAAACTCCCAGACCCCCCGGTTCGTAATCCCTTCTTCCTGGGGAGCAAATCTCCGCGTCGCCTATAGGCTCTGAGTCTCTATTGGCAATCAAAGGCTGGGGAGATTGCGCAAAAATTCAAACCCCGGCGACGCTTCTGGTAAAGATTGTTTCGATTTTGTACGTCAGCGTAATTCGTAGTTTGTTTCGTCCAAGCTGTCACGTTGGGGGAAGATGTGCCACAAGGGAAGCAGCGGGATGTTGACAGTTTTGGTGGCTGGAGTCAGCTGGCGCACAATCAGTTTGCGCCACACTTCCTCTCTTGCGGCGCGCCGGTGCGCCTGTGCCTGCCTAGAATCGCAACGGCAAAGCACCCGCTGCGCTAGGGACCAATAAGGCAAGGCTCACATTAGAGCTGAGCCGTGACGGAGCCACCCCGGTTGAGTAGACTATTCTATTCTAGGCCACCGCTCGATATTCTGCCGGCCCTTCAATTCGAACTTCGCGCGGTGTTGCTCGAGATCTACAGAAGTCGTCATCCAAGGATCCGGGACTTCATCTGAACCGCCACTTATTGAACACACACACCCGATCAACCCACGAACCGATAAAACCCAACTTTTCAAATCAATCAACACCCAGACTTTCGCCAACAAGCAAACATCCCATCAACCCCCCTTCCCGATCCTCCCGATATCGAAGCCTACACCCCAAGCTCCGAACCCTCCCCTCCATCGCCACAATGGGCTTCTTCTCCTCCTTCCAAACCGAAGAAGCCAAGCGCGCCGAGGAAGTCCGTACCGGCGCCGTCGCCCCGGACCGCAGCGAACGCCGCAAGTGCTGGGAAGCCCGCGACGCTTATTTTGGCTGCCTCGACCGCAATGTCATCGCCGACGCCCTCAAGGACGATGCGAAAGCCCGCAAGGCGTGTCCAGCCGAGAACCAGGTCTTTGAGCAGGATTGCGCTGCTGCTTGGGTATGTGTTGTCTTTCTTACATTTGGGGTTCCACCTCCTCCTTGTGCAGTCATTGGGTCGTGGGAGATACCTCAGGTCGTTGATGTAGCTTCTACCGGCTCAGCGGGGAAGACCATTGACCAGAGCTCTCTACCTGCTCCATGCAGCAAAAACAAGAAAGCAAGATCCCCTTGTAACTGAACAGTTCATACTTACATCCACCCCCTTCACAGGTAAAATACTTCAAACAATGGCGCGTAGCAGACCTCCAAAAGAAGCAGCGCATGGCCCAGCTCGAAGCCGAAAACGCAATCAAGATGGACGTCACCACCACTTTCGCCGACCAGCCCTCAGCCCCTTCCAAGGGATCAACGCCGACAAAGATTGATTTGCAAGATATGCTCGCCTCGAGGAGGCAGTAAGGCTGTACGCCCAGGGGAAGGAAGCAAAGAATATGTTCAAGACGAACGAACCAACCATCCCCTTTCTCCCATCGGATTTGCGGGATATGGTGGGATGGTTTCCCTCCAGCAAAGATGTCTGAAAAAAGGCGAACCGTCGGCGGCTGTATATGGCCCCCTTTGATACCAGAATAACTCCCTTTTCTCCAGCTACCACTAGCTGGTGTACAACATTACGTTTTTAGATACTCCTCTCCTTGGGGGGCCGGCGGTATTTAAAATAACGTCTGTAGAATAATGTAAACCACAATGGCAAACAACCTCTCATCTATCCGCTATCACTCAGGCTTAACCCTAGCTTTAGTCGCATTGCTGAGGAGTTGACTGGCCGAGGCACATCACAATAAACAACTTGACTTCAACATAGTTTAGAACCGACTCTTCTATTTGTGCTACCTAGACGCACCCAACCCCATATTATGGGAGGAGAAAGCACCCTCTGAATATCGCTATAAAGTTTTCCACCAATTCCATCCATCCCGACTCCTATTCTTTTTTCTCCCTTTGCCTATGAATCCCAGCAGGGGTATGATCATCACCGGGGGAAAACAATGATTTTTTACGTGATGACCTTTATGTATGAGAGACTTTCTGTATGGGCGGAAAAAAAAACAAAAACAAAAAAGGAGGTTTGATAAGAACACCCGAGGAAAAAGGTGGGAGAGGAAAAAAAAAAGTTTGAATAAAAAAAAAAAGAAGAAGCATGCTCAATGCAATGGTGGTATCATCCATGAGAGAAAACACTAGTAAAAAACTCTGTGGTCGTCTCGGCTCTCTGTTGCCTCGGTCGCTGTGAGACCTCGTTGAACGAGCTTGCAGAATTTGTCATTGACCCCGTTGATGCAATTGTTGATTTGTCGACCCCTTTCCCTCTCTGCTGCTGCTGCTGCAGCTTCATCCACCGTTATCTTCCCGTCGCGTGCCCTCCCCTACATCGCCACTGCTCCCACTCGTACTCCTAACAACACGAATTCGTCTGCTGTTGTTCCGCAAGAGGCGGCTTGCGCCCTAAGCAAGGCCCATGCGGAAGCTGCTCTGCCCGCCCGCCTCCTTTGGTAGTGGGGGCAAGGCCTTGTCGAGCGAGTCCTTACTAAGGCGAGGCTTGATATTAAGAGAGTCTTCTCTGCTCATCGTGGAACCGTTCCCGTTCGGCAGCGCCCCGTAGCCGCTGTCTTGGCTTTCGGGCTTCAGATGATGGCCTTTCGGCGGCGTCGGCGGCGCGTAATCCCTGAGTCCGGCGAATCTACTCTCCATACCAGGCTTGGCTGGTGTAGCCGGTCGATAGTCATCCCCATCCCGACTCGCTGCCCCGTCTCTGCTTCTGCCCCCTAGGGACGAAGCCTCTCCTGCCTCTTCGACTACAGGCAAGATAGGAGCCCCTTGGCCACCCGATTCTCGTCGTTCATTCATCTTTGTAGTCGATAGAACGACGTCCGGGACGTTGAGCTCGGAGGCGCCGTGTCTCTCGGACCTTCGGGCATCTTGTTGGGCTCGCTCGACGGTCTCGCGTGCTTCGGGTGACATTGGAGCGCTAGGCGGGGTTGGCGGAGGCCGGTAGTCGGGCATCGGGGGAATATTGTTCGTCCCCGACCGCCGGCGCATACTCGAACTCCAACTAGCAACGCGCTGTCTCTCCGCAGCCGCGGCGGCCTCGATCTGCTCCTGGTCCTTCCGAATCTTCTCCTTAATCGCCTCTTCGGGGGACATTGTTATACCCTCGACGAAGTTGTAGAATCGGTCGCCATACTGTTCAGGGGGCAGAGCGGAAATCTTGGTCTTGTCGCTTGTCAATCCCTTCCAGAAGTGCTCAATCTTTTTGATCATTCCGTACTATGCAAAAGGTTAGCAGTGAAACAGCGAGCAAGGGCATGAGTCTTACGTGAGTCAGGCAGTCAATGACACCCAGGTAGTAGATCTCGTCGGCTGGAGAGTTATCCTCGTGGGTCGCCTGGAATCCACCATCATCCTGGTTGAAGATGTATCCCGACCTGCTGTGTCCCTCATCAAGCTCATCTGGCATTTGAGCTGCAGTCTGGCCCATGGGCACTGGCCGCTCGTGCCTGATCATGTTGCGCAGCTCCCGTGCCTTACGAGCATTCTCCAGTTTGGAAGGTGTTCGCAACAGAACTGATGGCGGCTCGCCATCTTCTTGCTCGCCGCCGGGGTTGAAGACCTGAAGCGTCTTTCCACGAAGATTTTCCTCGTTTCCGCGCTGCAAATCGTGGATACCAATCAACAAAGAGTAGTCCATGATTTTGAGCTTCTTCATCAAGACCACATCCTTTTGCAGCTGCTCCAGGAAAAGCTTCTTTTTCTGGATGCCTAGCTCGAGGTTTCGTTGTCTGCGCATCCAGTTGAGGTCCTTCAGCGTCGCCCGAGGGTTCTTGTCCAGGTCGTCTTCCTTATAGTCGCGGCCAATCGTAGATCCCTTCAAGTCGAAAGTTGTGTGGATGTCCCGGTGGGGAGGGAAGAGGTTGTTCATCACTACGAAGTGAATCTTCTTTCCGTAGGGCATCTTGACTCGGTGAAGACCGTAGAATTGAGAGAGCAGCGTATTTGGGTTTTCGGTGACGTGGTGGTAGTAGTCCTTGAGGACCTTGCGGAGGAACTTGTGCTCGGCGTGATGAATGGTCTTGATGATGTACTTGTAGTCTCTGGAGAAGTAGAAGAAGCTACCACTCTTTCCAGGAGAACCCAGTTCAGACAGAATATACTTGCCCGTCAGAGACATGAGGTAGTCTGCGGGATCCAAGCGAAACAGGCCGCGTAAATGTCGAAAGACCCAAGGCGCATAATCCTTAAATTTGAAATCGTACTTCGCCGAGGGCACCAACTCGTTTCCGGCACTGAAGAAATTAGTAAACTTGCAAAGCACGTGGGTTACGCGGGACTTGACGTACATGTCAAAAGTCGACTTCTGCTTCGCCTCAAAGTCGGCATCCGTAAGGGGCCGGTCGAGCTTCGCGTTCGTGCGGGACACGGAAACACGGATGCCTGTCAACATGTTATAGGCGGTGACCCAGTTGGTGTGATGTTCGTCGACCTTTGTGCCGACCAAGACTCTATCGTCATCCTCCTCTTCCTTTCTCTTCCTCTTGCTCGCCCGCTTTTGTCGATAATGCTCGGCCCAACGCAGGGCTTCTTCGTCGGGTACCACCTCGTCACGCGGTACATCGGATTGCATGGAGCGGGTATCTCTCCGCACCAGATTAAGGGACGCCCTACGCACTCTTTGCGTGGTGCTTGTGGGAGAGAAGCGACCGCTGGAGAAGCCCGTGTCGGAGCCATCCTTGGAGGCGCGGTTGGATTGGGTACCTGGGACTTCGAGCGTATGCCGATGCTTGAGTCCGCCGTTGGGCGGTTGCAGCCCCGTTGATGTTGATCCGTTGGGGGTAGCGCCACCAGATTGATAAAGCGGTGGAGAAGAGAAGCGTTGCGGTGATGCCGGTTGGTTATTGGCGATGGGATCTGGGGACAGCGACGCGTTGCTGGCTGCTGGCACAGGCGTTGTGTGGCCGTTGGCAAGTTTACCTTGGGAGGGTATTGCTGGAGGTGCATAATTGGGACTGCTGGTCCCGTTTGTTTTTATAGCATGATCGATGGATCCGGCCGCTGGCGATCCAATTGAAGGCGGCGTGAGATAGTTATCCGTCGGACTCGATTGCTCCGTATCGGAAGATGGCTTCTTGATAATAGTAATGGGGGGCGGCGGAGCTGTCCGGTCGGGCATGGTAACGGTGTGTCCATTTTGTAGAGGGTGCTTTTGATTCTTGTAATCGTTGTACTGGTCGTGGTGATGAGAGTCGTGGTCGTGATAATCAAAGTCTGGGCCTCCTCCGGCCCCTGCCGAGCCGTTGGGCAGCGAGCTCATGCTAGTCGGCCTCGTCCCATTCATCTGAGTGGGGATGGAATCAGAGACGTCCGAGGCGTGGGTTGATGAGGTTGAGCTTTCGTCGAAGCTATCATGGAGATTGTTTGAGCGCGATGGGCGAAGGGGTAAAGTATGGGAGAGCCCGTCAATTGGGTGCTTGTGGCCAGACAGATCTAGCGTGTTGTTTGGGTCGAGATCCAGAAAGTCGGAATTTGGCGAGTAGACGGGGGCGTTCTCGCGGGTGAGATAGGTGGGCATGGTCGGTCGGCCGGGGTTCGAGACGTCGGGAGGCTGGACGTAGCTGGATGTGGGAGTGGATGTGACGGGGGGTGTTGACGGCTACTGCTACTATTCTGAGCGATGTCGTTATTTTGTCTCTGGTTTCTCCCGGTTACTCGTGGGGGCTATCAGCGGCAGGATGGCGATTTTATCGAGTCCTTGGATTGTGGTTTGTTGGATTGAAAGAAAGGGAAACAGAACAGCAGGCCTAGCAAACCCTCAACACATTGTTTTCCGATGAAAGAAAAAACAACGCAAAAGTCGAATCAATGCGGCCGTCGTTCGTATGGATCGTCGAGGTTTGGGGGTATCGTACTTTCGCTAGGCGTGCAATTTGAACGGGGGGTGAGGTGTCGCTATCGATGGCGAGGATCGACGAGTAAGCAGAAGAGGACCTCTTCAGCAGCTCTTCAGCTACGGCCAATTGATGGCCGACCACGACGAGAGTTGCCAGTGCACGCCAGGCCTTGAGAGTGGCTACCGACACAATGAGTGGACCGGACGAGGGGTTCAATCACGCCGCTCGTTGGTTTGCGGCCGACAGTGTAGACTTAACGGCAGAGATCTAGATCGAACGAGGGAGCAAACTTCTGTCGCTCTGGGCCATGGATCAGCTTGTGCCGTCAAGTGGAGCGACCGGATATGGTGCATTGCCTCTTGCGATTCTACCGCAGTAGGGTGACGATCTGACTGTAAAATGAACAGGGGTGCACCGATGAGCAAAGCCAGAAGGAGCTCTCTGTTAATTACACCCCCCACCCCCTCCCAGACCGAAGAGCGGCTTCTGGATCATGGAAGGATCCGCTGATTCAACAACTGCTTCGACGCGAGCTCCCAAAAGGAGATTCTGTACATATGAGCTGGAAATTGGCGTTCTAGTGTTCCATTGAGATACTGTCCGAAAACAGCATTTTCACTTCCGAGGCGTTGCCAGCCAACCAAAATG